AAAGCGGTGTATTGTGTGGAGTAGAGTATGATGAGAGAGAGATGGAATGAGCGATCGTAATTACCTGCATCTGATACAGCATTCATACTTCAGATCAATCTCATATTCACAATAAAACTTTAGTATGTCCAATAGACTTGAAAACCTCTTAAAACTACATTCCGCTACACAAAAACAGTAATATTTTTTAATTATAGAGGATTTGGGCGTCCGCATGACACTTGCTGTAAGAAGTAGCGCAAGCGGAGTGAAACGATTACAAACGGTGGAGGAGCTCTGTTATCTCTCTAATATTGCACTCTTACCAGCCAATCAGATTCGAGGACCAGAAAGAACTGTTGTATAAATTTAATGCAGAGCTAGCCATAATTTTACATTTTTATGATTTAATTAATCATTAGTGTTTCATCAACTCACAAACCGCCAACAGTTCTTTCATTAACCCCAGTCTGGGAAACCCTGATGTAATGTAATGTAATCTTAATTATAAATAATCTTATTCAAATCTACGTGAGTAACAAGTTAGGTCAAAAGTAACCTCTCAGTAGCTAGTCAGTAAGCTAGGGGTGTGAATCGGCACTGGTTTCACCATTCAATTCGATTGCGATTATCGTGTCAACGATTCGATTCAATTCGATATCACGATGCATCACGATTATATTATTTTGTGCATTTTTATTAAATTATATAAGCAGGCTACTTTTTAAAATAATTGTTAATTAATTAATATATAATTAATTAATTATTGTTAAGAATTAAAAGTAAATATAGCTTCAAAACATACAAGCAAATATAAAGTAATAAAGGGGGGGAAAGACAGTATTATATATGTATTATTTATTTCTAAACACCCCTTTTGGACAAATGTTTTCTGAACAAATGTAATTTCATGTGGACCCTGAAAATGATACTGACAATGTTGCATGTATGTTTATAACGATATAATTTTATATTGTGTAGATAAAAACATACATTTTAACAAAAAACAGCTTCAGGTCATTTTTTATATGTCCAATAATATGAATTTTAAGAAAAATAATAACTTTTTTGGGTTGAAAGTTAAAGGGTTAAGGCTGTTGTGGTAAGGACAGTCATGGTTTGCTATATAATTTATATCACAGTATGAAAATATATCTCCCCAGCGCAGGACTGCTTAAAGTAATTTACATTAGACTGATAAAGAAACATGCATGAATGAGAAAATAAAAAAGTCAATGCTGCATGCGCACCATAAAGCCATCTGTCATGCCAAAATAATCCAAATAAAATTATTCACTAATTCCAAATTATTCACATCCAAAATAAAACATAATATATGTGTGCGTACTGTGTATATTTATTATGTCATAAATACACACACACAAGCATGAATAATACAGCGCTTTTAGTCGTTTTTGTGCATCCATGTGAACGGGGATCGAATTGACAATGTTGTTGTATGCATAAACACAGAACTTCAAAAAGACAAATGAAAAAAAAAGCTTTTCTGTTTTTAGTACAATTGTCATGTAAACGTACCCTTATGTTACGTCCTCATGTCAGGACACAGCAGTTATGTTTCTTTATACGTTTACATTACATTTAGTCATTTAGCAGAAAATCAAGTTTAGAGTGAAGCCGTTTATGATGCCAGAATCCATGTGATATAGTAGCTTGTGTTCTGAATGCTCTTGTGTTTCCAGTTGAAGCAGCAAAGGAGGAATATGAAGATATCATAGAGCCTTGTAGAGTGAAAACCGAATGTGAGTGAAGGATCAGATCTGGACTGTCTGTTCTCACGGGATTCTGGAGCTCATGTGGCTCGCTCAGCAAACTACTAGATAAGACTAAATTGAGTTTATTTAGTGTACTATTTATAATGTGTACTTTTTATTACATTTATCAGCAATAAAATACGTTTCATGGCATTGAACGTTTACATTGCACTTGTAGAAGTTCTCACCATGATTCATAAAGAAGAAGAAGAAGAGGAGGAAGAAGAGATGAGAGGAGCGCACAAGCATCACTTTTGCAGGGAGTGTGGGAAGAGGCATAATTTCAGTTAGGGGGAAAAACGCTTTTGTCTTCTCTCCTGAGGACACAAGAGGGCACATTGAGCAAAACATTACTAATGCACGTTTCTTCAAAGCAATAAAATAACATGACTATCTTTGAAAAAAGTGCATAATGTTTAAAATAATGTTTATAAACCATATATAATTAATTAAGTTGCTTAAACAACATCATGTATGTATGTATAGTTTAATTCAAGGGACCGAAAACCAATCACAAAGAGTACTTCATTTAAAAACATGAGATGCAGTGGGATGGGGACAAACCACCATAAAGTCTCGAGATGTGTTTTTTAAAAGTTGAACTTACATTAATATTACTCGGCTTTCTAAACATGCAGCTCTTGTGCGAGACGCGAGTGCAGCGGTGCTAGATGTCCCTCTAGAAAACGGCTTGGTTTCAGTTTTGACGTAAACAACATCTCTGCATTGATGTTCTCCTTCTGCAATATTTTGAACAATGCAGCAGTGCCGCATCTCATGGGTTCAGCTGGATAGACTAACAAAAGCATTCAAATGCAATGACACCTTCATCGTCATCGCATCTCGTGCGCCGCTAAGTGCCTTACGGACGCCTAAAAATCAAACGCAAAGTTTTTGCATTCGAATGTGGATTTATATTTTAAATTTGACGAATATTCGAAATTTGATTTTTTTTTTTTTTTTGACAGCCCTAACATGAGCCAGTGCGCTGAGCGCTCATTGTGGCTTTACCTGTGCTCTCTCGGCTAAAACACCAGCACTGCATCTCCAGTTGGCCTTGATGTAAAACTCTGGGTACATGAGAAGAGCTTTCTATGCGAACAATACACAACACATCTATCAAAAACTGTCTTTTGCATATAAGCAGGTACAGTTGCATGAGTGAAAAAAAGAGATTCGTCTGATTTGGGTTACCTGGTGGTATTATAAATGACTGAATCAGAGAATATTTTTTTATTTTCATAAATAACGATTTTCTTTATTCATTAGCATGAATAAAAACATATTTTGAAATTATCAATGCCATTAACTTTACTGCACTTTTCAGAAGCATGACAGCATTGTTTTTGACCCACTTCAGGACATCTTTTTTCATAATCACTTCTATTGTCTTTGCATTTAACTAAGCATTTATGCTAAATAAACTACTTTATTTAAACTACTTTATTAATAAATGAATACCATTTCTATTGAAATTGGAATGCGTGCCATGTATTAATTACACATCTGTGTAGTGATAAAGTTATATATATTAATTGTAATATCAAATAACACACTGCAGTTAAAATAATAATCAAGCACTTTAATGTGCTTTAAAATGTTGGACAACACATCAAAATAGTGTACTTTAAAGTATGACAAAAGTTTAGTAAAACATAATGATTTAAAATGTACTTTAAAGTAAAACGTAATTTGACATTTGTGCACTTTTCAAAAGCTTAAGTGTGTTCATGAAAGTTTCGCTCTTTAAGTACACTTAAGGGATTTTATTTCATTAATATTATATTATCTGCGAGTACATTTATTTTTTTTAAATGTTCTTTTATTTGAAGTTCACATTTAAGTCCACATTCAAGTTAACCCCAGCAAACACAGAACGTTCCCTTAACGTTAGTTGTTGGTTCCCGTTTGGTTATTTTTCTGGGAACCAAATACTAACGTTAGGGGAACGTTCTTTTTAGCTTATATTTTTTATAACCATAAAATAACGTTCCCAGAATGTTGCATGGTGGTTATTATTAAATAACCAAAATATAACCTATAGAGAACGTTCCCTGATGGTTATTTTTAGGTTATTATTTTGCAACCATAAAATAATGTTCCCAGAACATTGCCTGGTGGTTGTTTTTAAAATAACCCAAAATAAAGTTCCCTAATGGTTATTCTCAGGGTATTTTTATAACCCTGTAAAACTATCTTTCCAATGAAAACTTTGCAGATGTTTTTGTGTAATGACCTACACTCTGAAATTCGTTTAATGTAACATTTATTCAAATACAGAAATTAGATCAACCAAAACACGTTTTAAATTATAATATTAGGCCAGGGCTAAGCATAGTGATAACAGAAATCATAAATTCGTGTTTTATTTTAATTTACTGCGCCTCTGATCTGCAAGCGCTGCACTAGTAGCACGTGCTTTATCCTGTCTTCGCGCGCTCGCGGAATTTAAAAATTAACGGTCATTTCGTTTTACTGCTGACTGACTCGCTCGTTTATCGATCTATTTATTTAATTGGATGATTACTTCAAATTAATATAAGTTAGTAATGAGAGGATGATTTCGGAGGAATTTGATACACCTAACTGAAGAGAACATGATGTTAATGGAGACGCTTTGTTTACGGATCAAAAGGAATGTCCTGCTGTACAAACTGTGCACTTCGTGGTAAGAAATGAATGTACTTTTAAGTCAAGTAATTTTTTTATATATTAGAATAAGTCATATTTTATAAACCATACATTAAAGTCATTTTTATTTGGTGCTGAAAACATGTAAAATCTGCAGGGTGCCCCGTAATGGACATTTAATCGTATTTAATCTTACATATGGTTAAACAATAGATAAAAACAAGATATGGTTCTTCTTATAATACTGATATAAGGGTCGTGATTGTGGATGATTACTGACCTACAGCGGAGTGATACTGGAGTGAAGCGGTTAGGGAAACGTTATAGTAACGTTATTCAAACAAAAAACTAACGTTCTAAACTTCCCTGGCTAACCAAAAACAAACCTTAATAAACCTTAATAAAATAACGTTCTGGGAACCAAAAATTGCAAGCTGGGATAGTTAGGAAAATTGAATAAATAATATAAATTAGATTTTAATTGTGTCTTACAATATGATGTTGTCACTACCGGTATAAATAATGTACATGCACTGAAGTACAGATGAAACATCGACCTAAAAACAAACCGAGTTTCTTTTGAAATGTCGCGTCCCGTGTGCGTGTGGAAACAGAAATGCAGACAGACAGATCGATTATTACTGTCATCACTGATGAACCGACAGAGGTCAGTCATGGCGAGCGGTAAGGACACGCATCAGAACAGCTGCTCGAGCTGCAGATGACGGATTGTTTGCGCGTCAAGCTCTTGGCTGATCGTGAATGTCGGTGTTTGTCGTGTCTCAGTCTCAGAGCCGGTGACTGTGGTCTTCAAGCTCTACTGCCTGGCTGTCATGACCCTGATCGCCGCCGCATACACCGTGGCTCTCTGCTTCACCAGGACCGTGTCCTCAGACCCAGGGGCGGTTTCTCCATTAGGGCGATTGGGCGACGCACCACCAAAGCGTGAACGGGAGGGATTTTTTTTCTTTCACATTCAACCACAGTGTTACGCTAGCTTTCACTGTTTGTTCTGCCTCTAAATAGTCCAATCGGCGTCGAGTCGCGTTTTGTGTAGTACCGCCCCTTTTTGGGCGATTCTGTCAGACTGAGCATCGCCCCGACATCTTTAACTATCCGTTAATTTATCCATTGAATGGGTGACCTATCATCATTAATCATGCAAACATTTGCCCCCCCTGAGAGAATTGGCAGGAGCCGCCACTGCTCAGACCTGTACTTCTCCACCGCCGCCGTGTGCCTGACCGAGCTCATCAAGCTGCTGCTGAGCCTGGGGATGCTGCTCAGGTGTGTGTGAGTGAGTGAGTGAGAGAGAGAGTCTGTCAGAGTGTGTGTGTGTGTGTGTGAGAGAGTGTCAGAGTGAGTGAGTGAGTGAGTGAGTGAGTGTGTGTGAGTGAGTGTGTGTGTGTGTGTCCTCCTCACCTGTGTGTGTGTGTGCTGCAGGGAGAGTGGAGACTGGGGCCGCTGCGGGAGTGTGGTGGTCAGTAATATTCTCAGGAGTCCGGTGGAGCTGCTGAAGCTGAGTGTGCCGTCGGTGGTCTATGCTGTCCAGAACAACATGGCCTTCGTGGCATTAAGTAACCTGGATGCTGCTGTCTACCAGGTATCTGAACACATGAGCTCCGGCTCCGAGCTTCACTTCCACACTAAAATAGACATTAAGGAAGAAGCGTCACGCAGCTCTATCCAGTGTAACAGCAGCAGTCTGAAGGGCTTGTGCCGTCACCTGATAGAGCAGTGTGAAGAACAGACTGATAGTCCCTGAGCATCGTCCCGTCTGATGAAACTCACATCCAGCTGCATTTATAAACACAATTCTGTTAGATCAAGTCTACAGAACATAACCGTTTCATCTTTTACCCAGAACCGTATTCAGTCTTCTGTCAGCTGAGACGCTGCCTGAGGAAACCAGAGAAGAGCAGGAGATGAAGTGATGATGATCAAAATGAGTTTATTAAAGAATCTTAGTTGCATTTGTTTCAGATCATGACAAATATAACAAGTGTTATTAGACTAAATGACTTCATCAACATCCCATAAAGCCTAGAACTAATATTCTGTCTTACTCATGAAGACCAGCTCTCCAAGGAAGAAGCGTCACGCAGCTCTATCCAGTGTAACAGCAGCAGTCTGAAGGGCTTGTGCCGTCACCTGATAGAGCAGTGTGAAGAACAGACTGATAGTCCCTGAGCATCGTCCCGTCTGATGAAACTCACATCCAGCTGCATTTATAAACACAATTCTGTTAGATCAAGTCTACAGAACATAACCGTTTCATCTTTTACCCAGAACCGTATTCAGTCTTCTGTCAGCTGAGACGCTGCCTGAGGAAACCAGAGAAGAGCAGGAGATGAAGTGATGATGATCAAAATGAGTTTATTAAAGAATCTTAGTTGCATTTGTTTCAGATCATGACAAATATAACAAGTGTTATTAGACTAAATGACCTCATCAACATCCCATAAAGCCTAGAACTAATATTCTGTCTTACTCATGAAGACCAGCTCTCCATGAAACTCCACATTCGTATGATTAAACAACAAGCATAATAAAATTGACAAATGATTATGATTAAAAATCCCCAAAATAATGATTTAAACTACTAATGATTATAAAACAAATGTGTCCCTGGAGCACAAAAGCAGTCTTAAGTCGCTGGGGTATATTTGTAGCAAT